CCAAGGGGTGGAAAGGTGTGTGTTTACTTCTTACTCTGCCAAAGATACAAACCCTAGGACGTCAAAAAGCTTATATACTATTCTAATTAATATAGAAAATTAGGCTCAAGCCCATAAAGTAACAGAAAACTGGTCCAAGCCCATTTAGAATGGCGCTCAGCGGTATTTTACCGCTAAGCGGTACTAGCGCATGATCCATTTTGCCCCCCAGCTGTTGTTTTGCCCCTCAACGGTAATTTCGGCAACTGAAAACTGTCGCTCAGCGCAAAATTATCGCTCAGCGCCACTCGGTCGCAACTTTTTCTGCATTCTGGTTGACTTTTCAGCATTGTGGTTGACTTGTTGGCTTTTCTGGTTTCTGGTTGACTTTTCAGCATTCCAATCATTCGGTACTTCAATTCTTCTTTCAAATCATTCAATTAGCCTACAAAATCAAGGGAATCTTGCACAAAACCATTAAATTCACCTTCAACTCTCTTATTCACAAAACTAAAGCAAAAATATGAGTTCAAGCTAGTTTCTAAGTCTTAAAGGTTGCTTTTGGTATCAATTTTAAGCATAAAAATAACGGTGTTTCAACCGTTATCACCCAACAACATATTCATCCATATATTTCAATTCACGTGTTTTGTTTCTTCTCGCCCATTGATCATCACATGCATACATATTTACTTTTCAGTCTTTTGCATTTGAAACTTACAACAATTTGTTCATAGGATCATGATATTTCAACAACTTTTTTTAACAATTTTTTGACAACAGAACACTTGTCACCATTTTATTGGTTTGCTTGAATTTATTTTCAAAATAATATTTAAAACGGATCAATCATAAGTCACCACGTATGCGTTGTCAAAAAGTTGTCAAAAAACAGTTGTTAAAATAACTTTTTCCTTGTTCATAAGTCCTAATTAATCAATAAATCACATAACTGTCTAGGTCGTGAGTCCTTTGGGAGAATGATACTTGGTCTTACCAGGTTTATTACTTGATACGATTCGGTTACACTTGCCGAGGGTTAACAAGTTTTTGACTCCGTTTTCGGGGATTGAAAAATTTGTTCACCAAGTTTTCGGAGCCGTTGTCGGGGACTCGTGGTTTAACTAGTCTATTTGTGTGATTTTTTATTACTTTTGACTTGATTTTTTAATTTTGTATTTTCTGTTTTTATTTTTCTATTTTTATTTTTTGTTTTTATTTTCTGTTTTTATTTTTCTATTTTTATTTTCTGTTTTTATTTCCTATTTTCCTATATTTTCAATTATATCTTTTGATTTTTTTTATCTATCTTCTCTATCTTTTTGTGCTATCAAATATTTTCTAGAGTTTTGTGCCAAATGCTTGCAGGATGCAATTCGGACAAGAATTTAACTGTATGGGAACTCAATTCTACCAAAGTAATATTAACCACTAATGGGAACCTCACTCGAGTACAGATCAAAGCCAATTTTGGCAAGCTGCCGGACAGTTTAAGAACCAATCACAAAAATAATGGCAGCAACAAAGCTCTCTATCAGAAAGTTTGAGAACCGTTGTTGTCAAGATACCACAGAACCATGTTCAATCCCATCCATTGCTTCATGATCTACTATAAGCTGGAACGAGCCATCAACTGGACACCTAATCGATCAATCATATATCAACAACTAATGTCATACGCTTACTTAAGGAATATTTGCTTAAAGTAATGACAAAGCCTCCAAGACAATAATGATCAATTCAATCAGAATGCTCTACCAACATGACCGATCAATGTTTATTGTTGGTTCAGAATATTGTTGTTGTGGTCTATTGGCCCATCGGTCCATATACATAATTACCCTCAATTTCAATTTAGTTATTTAGTTATCCAATAACCAATCATTTCATGAAGCATCATCATAGTTTTAGTTATCCAAATTGTAAGCATAATTATGTTTTTTTCTTACTTCTTAATCTTCTAAATCACATGTCTTCTATTATTACCCTTCTTTTCCAAGGGACATAGAATCGCAAGTGTAGCCTTAAAAAGTTCCATGTTACACATTGATATCCCTACTCATTCAAGTTTCATATTAAGTTTTCCTTACTAAATAAGCATCTTATATATATATTTCATATCCCTTTTCACTAGCCACTTGCCGTGGAATTCTTAAGATCTTCAATTCAAAAAGTCTAACCCTAATTTTAAACGTGTAATCACTAAAGTTTGAAAAACATATTTACTTCACATACCACCGTCCTCAATCATTTAAGAAAAACAAGTTTCTTAAACTAGGTTTTACTCCAAACAAGGTATATTTTCTTTATTACATTTATGACAAGAATGTCTTACTATATATCCACACATAAGATAATAACATAATGTAATCAATTCTAGTTTTCTCATCTTTGACTTTTTCATTTGACCGACCAGCCAGATTTATAATTTTATTTCAATTCTATGCATGTGAAGTGATGATGTGAAGAACTATCTATATAAGCACCATACCCCATTGCCATTTTCATCAACCAAAAATCTCTTAGACCTTTGAAATCTCTCTTCCATTAACCAAAATCTTTACTTTGAGACCCAACTTTGACATGGCAGAACTCAACCACACATTGCTTGTCATTTTCCTCTCTCTCTTCTTCTCATTTCTTTCCACCCCAGTTGAGCCATCACCTTTGACAAGGCACAGAAACCCTAAGGCAATGACCTACATAGAGTCCTCTTGCAAAGGCACCCTCTACCCTAATCTATGCATCCGTTGTCTTTCCCAATATGCCAAATCCCACTTAAATGGCCCACAACACTTGGCACAATATGCCCTGTCAGTGAGCCTCTCTAGGGCACTGCACACAAAAGGGTACCTTTTGCAAGTGGCAAAGGAGCTTCAAGCCATCAAGAGAAACAAAAGAGAGTACCTAACAGTGCAAGATTGTGTGAACCAAATAACTGATAGTGTGGAACAAATTAACCAAGCCATGAAAGAACTGCGTAGCTTCAACAAACATGATTCAAGCATGAATGATAACATGTGGCACATAAGCAATGTTGAGACATGGGTGAGCACAGCTTTGACAGATGCCAGTAGTTGTGTGTACTCATTTCCTGGGAATAGAATGAGTAAGAGAGTTGCTGCTATTAAGCTTAAGGCCAAGAATGTTGCAGAAGTTACAAGTAATGCTCTTTTCTTGTTCCATAGATATGCATCTACCTTCCAGAAAGCCACAATGAACACCAGTAATTCCTAACTTGGAACCTAACTTGGTTTATCTTGTTACCTGTTCATGTGTATGACACATGTTTTTTCTTTGGGTGGGTTATGATTCCTGTTACTTATGGTGTAATCATGATATTGATAAATTAATTTGATCATTATTTATGTTTATGTGTGCTATTAGCAAATTGTTATTGATTATCAGGGTCAAGGGAGAAATTTCCTTTAGGCTTCGAAAGTTATTTAAAAATTATATGTTTATATCAAAATGAGTTTAATTTTTATTTTTTAGTTTGAAAAAACACTACCAACTTATCCAAGAGGAAATTAATGACTCATTTTGTAATTTGCGATTTGACAAGTAAAAACAAAACTAGCTTTATATTAATGATAACTCTTGCAATAGCTATATATATTGTCGTTATTTTTATCTTCTTAATTATATCCATTTTTTGTGTAAGTAGTCTTGCAATTGTTATTTTTATCATTACTAGAAAATTATCTTTGGAGTAATTTACTAAATATATATATATATTATATTACGTATTAGGAAATGTAATGTATAAGGAAAAGAACATTGCAGTGAAAGGAATGTTATTCTTAACGTAAGAATGCGAACATAAATAACATGGTATGCTGAAACATAGTGTCAGAACCCATTTAAAACGCACCCAAAACCCTCTGAGCGGACGCCAGGTGTCAAGCAAAGGAAGTCTGAGATTCAGAAAGTGGAAGACAGGTGTGTGTCACAGATTGGACGAACGTTTTAACGGTAGAGTAAAACTGAAATTTTCTAAGTTTCGTGCCACTTCTCTGCATGCAACCTCTCTTCCAAATTCTGAAACTTCATTTTCTCCTCCTTCTCTCTAAAACCTCTTCCTTCTCTCTACAAAATCTCACCCTTTCTCTTCTCCGATTACCACTCAGACACCGTTGAAGCACTCCCGACGTAAGAGCTTTAGTGTAAACCGATGGGTTTATGATTCTGAGTCGGTGAGTCTCTTTTTCTCTAGTACGTTCGGTTACGTCTTGCATGCAACTATTTGGTTATGGTCGTCTGAGTGGGTGGTAGTTGTTTGAGTGTTTCTGGTTTTTCTCTGTAGTTCAGTATCCCTAACAATGTGATCGTCGAACGTTAGTTTTGTGAGAGATGAAAATGTAGTCTTCTTTGCGCAGTGAGAGAGGAAAAATGGGTGGGAATTTTGCCGCTCTTTTTACCGACGGATTTTGTTCGTCGGTAATTACCGAAGGCTTTACCGACGGATTTGGTGTGTCGCAATTACCGAAGGCTTTACCTACGGATTTTGTTCGTCAGGAATTACCGAAGGCCTTACCGATGGATTTTGACTTTTGATAATTACCGAAGATGAAAATCCGTCGGTAATCACTTTTTTTACATTCGTCGATAAAATTCGTCGGTAATGCATCCTTTATCGACCGAAATGATTCCATCGATAAAGTTTCGTCGGTAATTCCATGTATTTTTGTAGTGTACTAAAATTGGTATCCATTATATTTATCAAGCATTTTCTCTATAAGTTAGTAGTAGTTGGTCTTACACCAAGTGCTCGTGCTGAGTAAGTGTTTAGTCTTACACCAGGCACTCTTTCTCCTTTCTGTAATATATATATATATATATATATATATATATATATA